AACCTCCCCTGAGTCGTTCTGTCTACAAATGTTCCAGACTGATTTGATCAATTCTAGCCACTGAGTCAGGGTTCATTCCTTGGGGCCAAAAGCACACGAAAGAAGAAAAACAAATATAAAAAAAATAATTGTCCCTGCTTCTCATGTACAGTAAGTTGGCGAAATAGTTTTTCAGCCAATGTCTTTTTCTTTCAGCTTTCTTATTTTCTCATGTTGTTTTAGGAATTACAATTGAGTGGATATTCGTAATAACAATATTAGCTGTTTCCTTAGATGGTAGCATTTGGCAATCATTGACTGAGTAGCCAGTGCTATTCTAGTTTCATTTTTCTTCCCTCCCTGCCTATCGAGCTGGGATCAGTGAAGTATCTGTCCTCCTCATCTCTAATTGTAATGGTAATATTAGCCTTTTCTTTATAATGAAACATTCAGCATTAATGGACTGAACAGCCAATGCTACATGAGTTTTGCTTTTCTTTATTCTCTGGCTTTCAATTTGGGATCAAAATGTAGTTTTTGTTCTTCTTATCTCTAATAGTAATATTTGCCATTTCCTTATGTAGAAACATTTAGTATTCTGCCAGAGCTACTTGTGTTATGCATTTCTTTCCTTCCTGGCCATTGGGATCAGATCAAAGTGTAATATCTGTTCTCCTCATCTCTAATACTAATGGTAATACTGTTATTTCCTTCTAAGGAATAGTTCAGTCATTACTATCATCAATTGAAATATATAAAATCTTTCTCTTAAAACAACTTTTCAGGAAAATACATTTCTCAAGTCTAGTAGATATTATCACTCTTTCTAGTACTGATGGGAGTTTCCTTGCTAAACTTTTGTTTGAAGTCATGTGGAACATCAACATTTTTATTATGTCTAGGCACTGACCAAGTTTTTCATTACTTAACTTCATTATTATATGAGAACTGTTGTTTCAATATAGTGTAAGAGAAAGCAAAATAATAAACACTATTCATTTATTAGATCCTTTATTTACACTATTTAGTTTTATATTGTTTATTGGAATGGTTGGTAAAAAATTGGCTAATAGCCAATCAATTCAAAATTTATAAAATGGTAAATAATAAAGATTTCTTTATAGCTGGTCCAAATATCTTAATAATGTAATAGATGTAAATTTTTATAAATAAAATTTTTTTTAATCTAATTCACCCTATGTAAGGTGGTAAAGCTATGAAGACACAAGGTTACTGGGTGTGAGAGAATTAGAAAGCAGAAGGATTAATGAGGATGAGAACGATAGAAAAGAAATCAGGAAAAACAATAGATGACAATTGACATTGCATTTAAATTTTTGAAGATCAAATTAATTTGAAAAGCAAGAAGATGAAAGCAAGTTTCACAAGTAAGAAGTGTGAAAAAAGAAACTGTTAGCAAAGAACTTACAGTTACATCTAGCCAATTCAAGTGTAAACTGATGGGACCTTGTCGCTAATCTAGTACTGTACTTAAATTCCTAGTCTAAGTACCGTAACAAAGAAGTCATCCAAACAATTACCACAAAAGAAAAGGCACAAAGAAGCAACTTTGAATGGTGGAAAAGTGACCAAAGTCAAGACATCAGATCAGGGCTAATAATATTGCTGATTCTTTGGATTTTATCAAGAATATCTAAATATATAGCAGGAGCACTGGACCATATGTGGAATTAATATTTGGGGCATGGATGAATGGTGAACTTGTAAGATAGATTTGAAAGAGAAAAATTGTCTAGCATGACACAGTGGACCAACTTTCTTAGCAGCAGACCTATCAATGGATTCTATATAATCTTTCCACTTCATGTCAGCCAAGAATGTTAGCTCAAGAACATGGAATGAGTCACTTTCTTGGAGGTTAGTATCAGCCATACCAATGGAAGGCACAAAGGAGTCTCTCAGATGATTAGTTCTTTATAAGTTGGTAATTGATAACTTTCTTCATAAATCGGTAAATGATAAATATTGCATTGCATACTTTTAGTACAGCTGAAGTAATTTTTAGAATGTTATATATACAAAATTATATATATACAAAAATTATATATATACAAAATTATATATATACTAAAATTATATATATATACAAAATTATTCTTATAAATAAACAATCTAATAAATAAATAGTTATTAATATTTTTGTTGTAAATTCTCACAAACGAAAAAAATATCTATCAATTCACTTTCATTTTATCTTTAGGTTTTATTTTAAATCTTATCATCACTTTTGAAAACAATAAACATTACCAAAGAGTGAATGTACCATATATACTCACGGATAGGTCACCTCCCACCAGAGAGGTCACCCCCACCAGAGAGGTCACCTCCCCACCAGAGAGGTCACACCCACCAGAGAGGTCACACCCCTATTGATGATTTACAGCTGACTTGCAGATAGGTCACACTATAATCTGGGGAGTTACACAGCCCCTTTTTAAATGTAAGAATTTTCAGATATCTACCTTAATGTTTACCTTTATTGTAATTACTTACAATTATTAATACGCTTTTGCAGTTAAAATACATTTAGTCAATTGTCATGTAAACAAAAGGAAGTAACTGTGATACCAGTATTTTTATATTTACCGTATATTATTTTAATTTAAAAGCTACTTCCTAATTCTTTCTTTTACTAATGATTAGGGTTTGAAACAAAATTATAAACTATGGCTACCAGCTATATCGCTGCGCAATGCGATGCAGTGCAAACATTTTGGGTACTAGATTCAATATTCATGCACTTTGTTATTTGTAAATAATACTTAAGAACGTCTTTTAATATTATATGAAACAACCATTAAAGAAAATTATCTCATAAAAAATATATTTCATTTCTGTAAGTCATATTTTCCAACGTATTTTTCACAAAATATATATATTTTGCAGAATGAATCGTGGGACTATTTTTTCTTTGTCAATAGACATCTAAACATGGTTCCTTAACTTATGCATGCATGTTCAGGGTTTCTATATCAATCCAGGGCCCTGACCAAACGGTGATCAATGAATATTTTATAATTTTATTTATTTATTGTAATGGATATGTGAATTTTTTTTTTTTTAAGCGTTTCACCCCAAGCAAGGCAAGAAGCCACTAGGACACAAGATAGGAGTGATAGAGGAAAAGGTGAGGAGAAGGATAGTGGATAGATCAAGGCAACTGGAGATGTCGATTGACATTACATTTGAACAGCTGGAGATTATAGCTCTCAGGGAAACTGGAATAGGAAAGGGAGTTCCACAGGCGAGAGGTGCGAGACATGAAGCTATTGGAGTAGAAGAGACAGCTACATTTAGGAGTTTCGACAGTGAAGGGGGTGTGAGCGGGATGCCAGCCTTGTAGGGCGCTTGAACTCATGAAGTCTGGGAACCAGCGAATGCAGCTCCTTGAAGCAATTGCCATGGAAGTATTTGTAAAAAAGACAGAGAGAGGCGACGGTGCATCTGTGAGAGAGTTACTGTAGACGAGATGCCAGAACTGGGCCAATTATATTGCATATCCGCCTCTGGAGCCTATCAAGAACCCCGGGGCAAACAGAAGGGGCTCCAGACCATATATGGCAGCAATACTCCAGAATCTAGAATATTTTATAATTTTATTTATTTATTGTGATGGATATGGGAATCTAGAAGCATGAGGTAAGTTTAAAGCAGTGAGTCAGTATATATGATAGATAAATTGTTTCTATACAGAGAAAAACCACAGCTTTAGTGTTTATTAGTATCATTTCTGATTTCTCAGAAATTATGATGACATGGTAGTGTTGTTTTACATTTATATCTAGCGGATAGGTCGCACCCCTAATATTTTGTGAAATTATGTGTTAGAAAAAAATGTGACCAATCTATAAGTATATATGGTAGTAAAAATAATAGTGGTGTCAATGGTAAAAAATCTGTCCTTTTCACTCTCTGTTATTTATGGGCACAAATGTCCAAGTTTGCTTCTGTAACTATGTATGATGGCATTTACCATTCCATTGGATCATTTCAGCAATGTAGAACAAGGATATATACTGCATGGATGTCTGTCTTCCATACTTACCAATCCAGGGAGATGGGAAGCAGCAGTCTAGATGCTGTTTCTGAAATATCATCCAGAACCAGTCTCCATAGACTCTCCAGATTGGCAAATAGTTAATCGAAATCTAAAAGGTAAAACAATATTTTTTAAAAGCTACAGACCATATGTGATAGCAATATTCTGATCATGGATGAATGGTAGACATAGATATGTAAGATAAATTCAGGAGAGAAAAAATGTCTAGCATGACACAGTGAACCAACTTTCTTAACAGTTGACTTCACAAGGGATTCAGTTTTTTCCCATTACAAGTGTCAGGTTAGACCAGAAATTGATTATTGCTGCCATATCTTGGCTGGATATGACCAATAGTTATTTGCCAAACTTAATACATTCTAAAATTATTTATACAGCCTTATCAGAGATGACATATCTTCCACACTGCAGTCTCTTTCCCCAAAGACACAATGCTGCAAGAATTTTCATTGCCCAATCCCACTTTCCATGTGAAAATTTCAGACAAGCTCCACTCGTTAACTTCAGCAATTCAAGTCTTTACACCTGTGACCTGACATGATGTTTCCACAAAAATCAAACCCCCTTCTCTCCATATTTCAATTGCAAGGTAGAATTTTCACTCAGCTTTATCCCACAAAATGCTACTTCATGAAACAGACTCCCATGTGGATGCTTCCCCAAATGCTACAATATTTACCTATCCTCCATATCCTCATGTCTTATTCTTGCATTCAAATCTCATCCAGTAAACTTCTGCCTTAATTGGCTCTTGAGCCTTTTATTGTTTAACATCCAGTAAGAAAATGATTCTTCCTCTCATGGAATCTGATTTCAATCCCTGAGTTAGGTAGTGACACAAACACAGTGAAGAAGTAAAATTAAATCATAAGGAAGAAATGTGTATATATATATATATATATATATATATATATATATAGATAGATAGATAGATAGATACAAATATATTGAGATAGATATGTAGATAGATGGATAGATAGGTAATCAGATATGAATATACTGCAATAGATAGATAGATAGATAGATAGATAGATAGATAGATATGAATATACTGAAAAGAAGCTCTTGTAGGGTGAAATATTTATTTAAATGGGATAATTTTGAATTTCTATTCTATATTATTTCATACATATATATATATATATTTATGCGTGTGTGTATAGATAGATAGATAGATAGATAGATAGATAGATATGTAATATATTCTATAAAGATCCAAACAGTTTAATGTCAAGAAAGAAAGAAAGAAAGAAAGAAAGAAAGAAAGAAAGAAAGAAGGGAGAAAGATAGGAAGAAAAGAATGAAAGTATTGTAGATGTGTGTAAGAAAAAGTTTTCTTTTTTCTTTTCTGTTAGTTTTAAGCCAGAACCTAGTTTCTGCATTTTGACTCAAACTGACACACATTTTTGCAGACTGAATAACAAAAATTAATAAAAAAAAAAAAAAGATGAAAAATATAAAAGCAAAAATATAAAAATAACCATAAAAATTATTGTTATTTTAAATAAAAAAAAATGCAGATGAAAATGCCTTTATCATGATTGTAGTTTTCAATTCAGGACAAGCAAAGTGTGTTTTTCAAAATTTGCTTTTGTTTTTGTGTTTTTCAAAATTTGTTTCAAAGAAATTATTAAACTGTTTTTTAAGAAAATTTCTGGTATGAAAAGAGAGAATGTGAGACAGAGAGGGTAGAGAGAAAAGGAGAGAGTGGTAGGCAAAGAGAGGCAATGACTAAAGAAAGAAAGAAAAAATGATAGAGAGAAGCAAAAATGAAAAAGGAAAAGAAAGAATAAAACAAAAAATAACAAATAGTAAAAAAATAGAAACTGAAAGAAAGAAACAAAAAATGATATAAAAGAATAATGAGGAAACACAAACAGGAAAAGAGAGAAAGAGAAAGAAAAAAATGAATGTTATAATGGAAAAGAAAGAAGGAAAGAAAGAAGAATGAAACAGAAAAGAAAAACAGAAAAAAGAGAGAGAAAATGGAGAAAGAAAATAATGGAAAATAATGACAGAAATGAGCATGAAAAACAAAGAAAGAACAAAAAATAAATAGTGAATGAAGCAAGAAGAAAGAAAGAAGAAGAAGTAGAAGGTAGGATTAAAAAGTGAAGAAGGGTGACAGAGTGAGAATGAGAGAGGAAAAAGAAAAGAAGGAAATAAAAAGAATAATAAAGAAACTGAAAGAGGAAGAGAGAGAGAGAAAAGGAAAAAGAGCAAAATAGGAAAGTAAAATAAATAATGAAGATAGAGGAAGGAGAAAGGATAGAAAATGGAGGAAGAAAGAAAAAGAAAATAATGAGAGAAACAGAGAAGTGAAAGAAAGAAAGAAAGAAAAAAATATGAAGAAAGTTGAAAATGAAAATAAAGTGGAAAAAGAAAAAGGAAGAGAATGAAAAAGAAAATATTAAATAAAAGAAGAAAAATGAAGAAATACAACATAATGAAAGAAACGAAGTAAGAAAGACAATGAAAGAAGGAAAAAAGTGAAATATATAAATATATGAATATGCACAGGGAAGCAAAGATGAAAAAAAGGAAAAGAAGAAATAGCAAAAGACAGGAGAGAAAGAAAGAAAGAAAAAAAGAAAGAAAGAAAGTGGAAAAGGGAAAGAAAACAAAAAATGATACATAGAAAATGAAGTGATAGAAATGATAAGAAAGAAAGGAAGAATAGGAGCTGAAAGAAAGAAAGAAAGAAAGAAAGAAAGAAAGAAATAAATAAAGAAAGAAAGAAAGAAAGAAAGAAAGAAAGTGAGAAAAGTGAAAGAAAAAAAAGGGGACACAGAAAAACAGAGAAAGAATAGGAGAATAGAAACTGAAAAAGAAAGAAAGAAAAAAGGACAAAAGAAAGAATGTGGGAAAAGTGAAAGAAAGCAAAAAATGCGAGATAGAAAAAAAATAGAGGTAAAAATGATCAGAGAGAAGGAAAGAAAGAAAAAGAAAGATGCATGCTTTAAAAATATGAAAAGAGAAGAAAGATATATATATATATATATATATATATATATATATATATATATATATATATATTATAAATTAATTGATTTAAAATATGTTTTTTGCTACACAGTTCTATTAATGCTCTGTAAATTTACATTGAGCACTATTTTGTAAAAATAAAATATCTATAAGAACACCGGATTATATATCTTGCTGTTCTTTCTTTTTTTATTTATATATATATATATATATATATATATATATATATATATATATATATATATGTGTGTGTGTGTGTTGTGTGTGTGCATGTATGTGTGTTTGTGTATGCATGTTTTAGAATATGCATATATATGCATGTCTTTATCAGCATGGCTGATGCTAACCTGCCAGTAGAGGTGACATCTTGCAATTTCTCTGGTTAATGTTTCCCACTGACATGAAGTAGAAGAATTATATTAAAGCAAATGCTAGGTCTTCTGCTAGAAGAGTTGTTTCACTGTGTGTTGTACCAGATATTGTTTCTTGTCAGAATCTGTCTTACACATTTATAAGTCTACATTTATCCATGCTTGAATATTGCTGCCACATATCGCCTGGTTCTTCTGATTTAGAAATGCTTGATAAAATCCAAAGAAGAATCTGCAATATCATTAGTCCTGACCTGGCATCTTGGCGTCAATCATTTTTCCACTGCCATAACATAGCTTCTATGTATCTTGTCTATAAATATTTTCATAGTAATTGTTTTGATGAGCTCTTTGGTACCTAGACTTTATGAATTCAAATACGATACTAGATTGGCTGCAAGGTCTCATCATTATACAATTGAAACTGAACCGTAAGTTCTATGTTAACAGTTTCTTCTATACTCACTTATGGAATTCTCTTCTTTCTTCTAGCTTCCCAGACAATTTTGATCTTCAAAAATTTAAAGACAATGTCAATCGTCTTCTTATTTCCTGTTCGATTGTTATTCTCTCTCCTTAATAATGCTTATGTTTTTCTTATATTCTTTCACACTCAGTAACCCCTTGTGTCTTAGGTACTTTATTGCTGTGTACAAGGAGAAATGAGAAAAAACTGCATTAATTATTGCTGTGATTTTTGGTCTGGTGCTAGTACAATGTATTTAAAGATTCTTGATAAAATAGAAGGAATAATCCACAATGTCCTGACCTGGCATCTCAGATCCTGTCAATTTCACACTGACATAACATAGAGTACTGGCGCCTTTTCTATAAGATCATAAGTTCTCTGCTATATGTTTCTTCTCTTCACTCTATGCTTTTATAGAATGCTCTTCCAGCTTCTTACTTTCCAGCCAACTTTGAATTTCAAAAATTTAAATGCAATGTCAATCATGTTTTCTTAATTCTCATTCTTTTATTGTTTTCTCTCCTAATGTTTGTTTTCGCCATATTATCCCATACTCGGTAACTCCTTGCATCTTAGTGGCTTCATAGCCTTGCTTTTGGTGTAATGATTGAAAAAAATACAATGCTGATGATTTACTAAAGAAATACATTGAAAATTAGAAAGAAAGAGATTGTGAGTGATCAGGAATTGCTTGTGTGATTAAATATTGAACACATGAAAAAGGTTTTAAAATTGATGAAATAACATCCTCAAAGAAGGAGAAGAATTGAATTTCTTAACCCAAACAATGTCTTAGAAAATCTGTAATACTGGATTTTATAAATCTATCATTAATATCAGATCTTTATTTTTATTTTTATAATTTAATACCAGATTTTACAGCTTGAGCAAGACATGAAACTTGAAGCAAGAGAGATAACTTTGCACAGCTTCTTCCCAAGAACTCCTATTTTACAGAAAAGACTCCCAAGAGGATGCTTCCCCAATCATTACAATCTTGACTTCTTCAAGCCTGGGGTTAACCATTATCTTCTCTACATATCCTTATAATCTGCACTTCTTTCTTCCACCACTTACACTCATACAACAACCTCATTCAGTAACGCTCTACCTTGATTGGCTCTTGGGCTCCATGTTGGGTGAACAAATAGTAAAAGAAAACAAAGTTGCTCACTAATTCTTTCTAGCCCTACCACAGAATGTATAGCTTTTGTGTATATGATTTTGTGTGTATGTCTGGGTCATACTTTTCCTACATCACCAAAAGAGTCCACTATACAGATATGGGCAAATTGCCTGTTTTCCATCTGAGGATATAGTAGAAATAGAATCCTCTGTTATTGTAAACTTGACAAATAAAACACCTCCTTTATCCTAAGTGAAGCCAAGTAAATGCCTCTTTACATCAATTTAATGTGAAATTTTTTGTTTATTATAAAAACTAGTATTAACAATTGTTCTATTTTTGCTTAATTTTGGAATTGACAAGAAGAAATATTCCTGATTTATCTGAATGGAGCCTGCAAATAAACTGAAAAAAAGACCCTAGAAAAATGAAAGAAAGTAAAAAGAAAGAAATAAAAACGTTTGAAAGGTGTTTATCAGAATCTCTTGTTAAGCCTTAAAGATAGTTGTTTATTCTAACGTTTACAAGAGGATTTTCAAAACAGCTTATGCAAGATAATTTGCAGGCATTCCTTAGACAATAAGAAACTAAGATTCCACTTTGGAAAACATTTTGTCAAACTATGGCATTTTTAAGTTACAAGTAGAAAAACAGACAAAAAGAAGAAAAACACCGATGGAAAGGGTTTCATGAAACTTAAAAAAATAAGCAAGTAATTTCTTTGAATTTTATACAAGACAATGATCCTGGATATAATGAATTTCAATGTCCCTTTGATAAAGGAAAACAAAAACATTTTTTGCATAAAAGAAATTGTTAGTCACTTCAAGTGTGATGATATTTTAACCAGCTGAAAAACAAAAATGGTTATTCTTGGTGATAGATTTGGCACTTAAAACTAAAGAACAACCATTCAGAAAGCTCTTAAAAATGAAATGTTTCAACAACAACAACAAAAAAAAATGAGGAACAAAAGCAAAACAGTTTATCGTTTCTTTCTGCTAACTTGTAAAAATGATACCAAATACTGAGTTTTATCTTACGCTAAAAGGTGATCAAATAGGTAGGTTATGAAGTCAAAGATGAAAACAAAACCAAGAAAAACTAACCCTTGATGGTCAAAAGGTTACAACTTGTTAAATACACCAACAATATTTTATATTTATTCAATTCATTTTGAATATCCAGGTCACAAAATAAACAATAGAATTTTATAATTTCTGTTTCCCTCTGAACAAGTATTTCCTAATTTACAGAAAGTTTTATTTAAAAATACATACAATGCACTATTTTACAATTACCATATTAATTCCCAACCACTGGCAATATGTTTCTATATGATTTCAATGAATTTCTATAGAATATGATAAACAATGCATTTACATTAGACATATTCCTGGTAACTTAAAATCCCTTTCTTCCTGATTTTCAGTGCTCGATATGCAGGTTAAAATTGCAAAATTTACTCTTTAATTATAAAAGATTTTTCCCCTTTAATAGAAATATTTAATTAGGTACTGCAGAAAGTATATAAATCTAAATGCAAATTAATATCTCCTATTCAAACATATATATATATATATATATATATATATATATATATATATATATATATATGCAGTTGGTGTAGTAATTATACATATGGAGAAATGAATCTGTGATCGGAGTTAAAATTCTTACTAGATTTCCCAGTTGCATTTTGTTCACTCTAGTGCCCTTAGAAAAGGCACAGTTCTTTTTTTCTTTATTTCACAGCTAATTTAAAATATCGAGGTTTGTACTAATAGTTTTAATATTTGTTTCTTAAAAAATTCTTAACAACACCATATTTAGTTTCCTCCATTGAAGTTTGGTCAAGACAACCCCAGTCCTCAATTCAGTGTTCTTCACAAGTAAAAAAAAATTTACCTTTCAGATAAACGCAGAAATATTGTCTTTCAAAATGAGGAACACTACAATATTTGTCTTGAAATAAACAACACCCTGATGATGAGATTGCACTATGTCAAAAGTACTTGGAATAAAATGTATCAACATGGTAATTTTCTCTCTTCTTTTAATAATGATACCAAAAAGCTTGTCTGTGAATATGAAAGGATCCAACTGAAATTAAATAGACAAAACTTGTCTAAATTATTCAATGAAACTTGTCTCAATGAAAATATGCCACCAAAATATATGCAATGTATATATATATATATATATATTTATTAAAGACATTATTATGTTTAACGTTCTTTTTTATAGATACAAGTTTTTAAGTAAATGCTCTGTTTATAATAAACTGTATTAAACAACATTTACCGGTGTGAATGTCCGAGAAATTTTCATAGAAAATATTCGTCCTTTGACAGGATTCGAACCTGCTTCCTATACGGAACCGTCATTTACGCTGACATGCCTTAACCGACTCGGCCACAAAGGAGCGTTCGGTAAGCATAAAAAACATTAAACATAAAAATTGCCTTTCTATATATATATATATATATATATATATATATATATTATAAATTAATTGATTTAAAATATGTTTTTTCCACTACACAGTTCTAACCATGTTTCAAAAATGGAAGCTAAAAGCCACGAATTTAATTTTGCAATTAAATTAAAAGACATTAGTTCCATTTCATCCCCAAGCAAATTTTGGAGTAACTTTTAAAATTACTGGGTTTTAAAGACACAGCTAAAATCACGTTTCCATATATATATATATATATATATATATATATATATATATATATATATATATATGAGAGTCAAGCAGTGCAATTCCTAGGACCAAACAGCCAGACACCAGCACATATGATTTGATTATAGTGTTGAAGACACTGTGCAGAATGAACCACACATTTTGAGGAGCCAAATACAAAGCCCTGGTGCACTACATGACAAAAGGTCCCAAAACAATTCTCTGCAGGTTCTGAATTCAGAGTTGTCATTCTCCTAGACCAGTTGCCATCCAAGGCCATAGAACCCAGTCTATCCTGCTATTTATCCATAGCTGGAAGGAGAAGAAGAGGATTTATACCTTTCCCCAGGGGTGTTAGAACATAAGGAGTGTAATGGATTCAACTGAATTTGAACTAGGCTCTCTGATTCCTCAATCTGATCTGCTACCCACTACAATCATATATATATATATATATATATATATATATATATATATATATATATATATATATATATATATATATATTTTGGTTGATAAATGTGAGTTTGTGACCCTGGGTTTCACACTTTAGCTTATCAATCAGACAAACTGCAAGATATAATATATAAATAATTATACATATATATATTTATTTATATTTATATACACTTTTCACACACACACACACACACACACACACACACACACATATATATATATATATATATTTCAAGACAAAATTTGTGTCTACACATGCTCATGAATGAGAGATGCCCTATAGTTTCAAAATTTTAAAAAATAATTTTTTGCAATCTAACCAAATTCACTATATTCCTTTTCTTTTTCTTTCCATCATCTTTGTTTTTAAATATCCCACATTATGAAACATTGTAAGAACCTAGACATAAATTTATTATGGCTTAACTAGTGATTGAAGCAATTTTTAAACATTTTCATTTTAGTGAATTATTTTCCCTTTTAATCATTTTAATAATCCATAACGTACTCTAAAAATTTCAGCTGTCTCTTTATGATTCAATACAAACACACACACACACACACACACACACATATATATATTTATATATATATCCTTTTCATTTACATTTTCCTTAAAAGTTCCCCATTGTTTACATGCTCTGTCCATGTTATTCATGGCATACTTCTGTAGAACCAAATTTCTCTTGCTTCAAGTCTTTTCTTTATTAAATTCACTGAAAAAGGCTACAGGCGAGTTTGAAAATTCTGACTTTGTTATCTTTGTCTTTGTGCTTCATTTTAGTCAAAAGTCCTACAAATATATGATAAATATCATGAATCTTATTGCCAAAATTCTTATCATTTTGTTGTCTTTTTATTCCTCAAATTTTATTTATCGTCCTATTAAATTTCTCTAAGAAGCATACATGGACTATATTTTGTTTTAATCATATATATATATATATATATATATGTGCGTGTGTGTGTGTGTATGTGTACGTGAATGTGTGTGAGTGTGAGTGTGTGTTAACTGTTTGCTTCCCAATCATACTAGTTGTTTCATATTACCAGCTTGAAAATGGTCATTGTTATTAGAATGTTCACATTCTGACCATGAGTCGATTTGTCAGAAAGGAAACTTCCCAATGCTATCAGAGTGGAGGGGTCGATCCCAGTGTGTGCCACCTTTGAAAAGTGCCTGAAAACCATACCACGGTTTGACCCAAGCCTTATGAGTGAAATTGGGTAGATAGTACCCCTAGGATGCATAGATAGCTGTACTAGCACAAAATCACAAGTCATAGTGGCCGAGGGTTTGAACGAGCTGACCTTGTTCAAACTGTTGATCCCATTAGATAACACGCTATTTCCCAGAAACTGTAACTAAGGAATGCTCAGCATAATTGCAATATAAACCACAGGTGGGCTCTGTGGGTGTTGAACAAACACAAAATTCACCTGAGCAAGCATCTGCAATAGGAGATGGTTATATATATATATGTATATGTGTGTGTGTGTGTGTCTGTGTGTGTCTGTGTAAATTTCTGCTTCTAAGTCATGCCAATTGTTTCATATTACCAGCTTGAACAATGATCTGTGCTCAAGATCAAACAAAACTTTAGATTTGATTACTTATTTTCAAGGCCAAATTTTAAAGCAACACAATTTACCTCCTTTGAATTGGTTATGTCCTATCCTAAAGTAGACATAGTACATAAGTAATTGTTGTGGTTTCCTCCCTCTAAAGAGTCTATGTTGGACTCTTCCGCCTACTATAAGATTAGTAGGAGAGAAGGCCTTGGAGGAAACAATCGAATAGATTGATTGGTGGTGAACCGACACACACTCACTAGTCATGTAAAACTCTTCTATTGTACTTACTGTTTAATATATGATATATCTGTAATACTTAGTTTGTTATTTCTTTAACCATTTACTTGGTCACAGAAGTAATTAACATGGAGACACAATGGACAAACAATCAGGCAAAAAGTAAATTTAATACAAAGACAAAATGTACCTGAGCAAGCATCTGCAATGGGGATTGGCTAGCCACACTAGTAGATGGTCATCCTTGAATACAAGTGTCCAGCTATATATATATATATATATATATATATATATATATACATATATATATATATATATATATATATATATATATATATATATATACAAATATAGATAACTATACTGTTCCGAAAACCCCTCTAATTTTTGATTTGCCAATAATCAAATCAATCTCGAGGGAAAAAAAGGTTTTAAAAAAAGAAAGAGCTAGAAACATGAAAGTCTGTCGAAAAAATAGCACAGATACAGGTTTGAAGCCCAAAGAAAAAACCCCGGTTTTCCCTGACGATCCGTTGAGGTGAAACCTGGGTAGGTTTGTCTGGCTCACCAGGTTTATATATATATATATATATATATATATGTGTGTGTGTGTGTGTGTGTGTGTGTGTATGTGTATGTATGTATGTAAATTTCTGCTTCTAAGTCATGCCAATTGTTTCATATTACCAGCTTGAACAATGATCAGTGCTCTAGTTCAAACAAAACTTTAG